TGGGGGACCAGGGATGAACCTTTGTCATGCTCAGATGGGGGCATGGGGGGCTTGGGGGAATCTGGGGGTCTGGGGTTGGACCTTCCTCTTCCTCATATGGGGGCCTGAGAGGGCTTGGGGGGCCTCAGAGGGCCTGGGGGGTCTGGGGATGGCCCTTCCTCATCCTCATCCTCATCCTCATCCTCATCCTCATCCTCATCCTCATCTGTGGATGAGGCAACCCCAATGGGGATCACGCCATGGGGCAGCTGTGGGGTCCCACAATGGCTCTCTGGGGTCCCCTGTGGCTCTGGGGTCCCCCTGTGTCTCAGGGTGGGTCCTACAGTGGCACTGGGCAAGTCCCACAGTGGGTCTGGGGTCTCCCCGTGGCTCTGGAGTCCCCCCGTGTCTCAGGGTGGGCTCCACAGTGGCTCTGGGGTCCCCCGTGGCCCTGGGTGGGTCCCCCTGTGGCTCTGTGTCCCCCCGTGTCTCACCTGGAGGGTCCCCCTGGCTCTGTGTCCCCCCGTGTCTCACCTGGGGTCCCCCCTGGCTCTGTGTCCCCCCGTGACTCACCTGGGGTCCCCCCTGGCTCTGTGTCCCCCCGTGTCTCACCTGGGGTCCCGCAGGTGACGCTGGTGTTCCTGCTGGTGACCCTGCACAAGATGCTGCGCAGCTCGGCCGCCCTCAAACCCGACTCCAGCCGCCTGGACAGCATCAGGTGGGGACCCAAAGGGGACCCCAAAGAGAAACCCCAAATGGGACCCCAAAGAGAAACCTCAAATGGGACCAAACTGGGGGGGTATCCAAACGGGGGGGGAATGGACCCCAAACAGGACCCCAAGGGGGACCCCAAACAGAACTCCAAAGGGAAACCCCAAACGACCCCCAAAGTGGGGGAGGCTCCAAACGGGGAGGGGTGGACCTGAAATCCACAGGGGGGAACCCAAAACGGGACCCCAAAGTGGGGGACCCTGAATGGCACCCCAAAGAGAAACCCCAAATGGGACCCCCAAACTGGGGGGGTATCCAAACAGGGAGGGATGGACCCCAAACAGGACCCCCGAACTGGGGGGACCCAGATGGGACCCCGTGTGGGCACCCACAAATGGGGGGATCCCAAGTGAGTTCAGGGGGGCCCAAATGAGATGCTGAACAGGAGGAACCCAAGTGGGACCCCTGAATGGGGCATCCCAAACAGGACCCCAAACAGGGCAGGGAGGGACCCCAAAACGAGGTCCAGCTCCCCAAAATGGGCCCCAGCTGTGGGTGCTGGGGATCCCAGAACCCTCCCAGTCCTTCCCAGTGCCCTTCAGTGCCTCCCACTGCCCTCCAGTCCCTCCCAGTACCCTCCCAGTGTCCCCCCAGTGTCTCCCAGTACCCTCCAGTCTCTTCCAGTGCCTTCCAATGCCTCCCAATGCCCTCCAGTCCCTCCCAGTGTCCCCCCAGTGCCTCCCACTGCCCTCCAATCCCTCCCAGTGTCCCCCCAGTGTCTCCCAGTACCCTCCAGTCCCTCCCAGTCCCCTCTCTCAGGATCTCTGTCTGCCCCACTGCTCCCCACTCCCCTCCCAGTGCTCCCCAGTCCCTCCCAGTGCCTCCCAGTGCCCCAGCTGAGCGGGTGCCCCGCAGGTCGTGGGCGCTGGGGGCCATCGCGCTGCTGCTGCTGCTGGGGCTCACCTGGGCCTTCGGGCTGCTCTTCGTCACCCGCGAGTCTGTGCTGACGGCGTCGCTGTTCACAGCCTGCAACGCCCTGCAGGGCACCTTCATCTTCCTCTTCCACTGCGCCCTCCAGAAGAAGGTGCAGGGGGCACTGGGAGGGACTGGGAGGGCACTGGGATGGACTGGGATACACAGAGATCTTGGGTGAGGGACAGTGGAAGGACACAGGGGGGACGTCAGTCAAGTACCTTCATCTTCCTCCTCCACTGCGCCCTCCAGAAGAAGGTGCGCGGGGCACTGAAGGGACTGGAAGGGACTGGGAGGGCACTGGGAGGGACTGGGAGGGACTGGGAGGGCACTGGGGCACCCTGAGATCATGGACAAGGGACAGTGGGAGGGTACAGGGATGACATCAGTCGAGTGCCTTCATCTTCCTCCTCCACTCCGCCCTCCAGAAGAAGGTGCGGGGGGCACTGGGAGGCACTGGGAGGCACTGGGAGGGCACTGGGGCAGGCAGAGATCATGGACAAGGGACAGTGGGAGGACACAGGGATGACATCAGTCGAGGACCTTCATCTTCCTCTTCCACTGCGCCCTCCAGAAGAAGGTGCGGGGGGCACTGGGGGCACTGGGAGGCACTGGGATGGACTGGGAGGCACTGGGAGGGACTGGGAGGCACTGGGAGGGCACTGGGGCAGGCAGAGATTGTGGACAAGGGACAGTGGGAGGACACAGGGATGACATCAGTCGAGTACCTTCATCTTCCTCTTCCACTGTGCCCTCCAGAAGAAGGTGTGGGGGGCACTGGGGGCACTGGGAGGCACTGGGAGGCACTGGGAGGGCACTGGGGCAGGCAGAGATCATGGACAAGGGACAGTGGGAGGACACAGGGATGTGATGTTACGAGGACCTTCATCTTCCTCTTCCACTGCGTCCTCCAGAAGAAGGAGGAGGAGAGACTGGGGCAGACTGGGGGTCCCAGGGAGGAACTGGGAGGCACTGAGGACGCACTGGGAGGCACTGGGAGATAGTGGGACAGCAGAGATTAGGAATGAAGGGACTGGGAGGACACTGCGTGGGCACCTTCCTCTTCCTCTTCCACTGCGCCCTCCGGGAAAAGATTTGGGGGGCACTGGGAGAGACTAGGAGGGACTGGGATCCTCACAGAGCATGAGTGAAGGGCACTGGGATGGACTGGGGGGAACTGGGAGAGTGGGACCTCCAGAGATCATGAGCAAGGGCACTGGGAGGACTGGGTGTTACTGGGGGTGTTCCTGGTGTGTTACTGGGGGGCAACTGGTGTAAACTGGAGTGTTACTGGTGTAAACTGGTGTGTTACTGGTGTTACTTGGTGTTACTGGGGTGTTACTGGTGTTACTTGGTGTTACTGGTGTGTTACTGGGTGCTACTGGTGTGTTACTGGTGTGTTACTGGTGTGTTACTGGGTGTTACTGGGTGTCACTGCTGTGTTACTGGGGTGTCACTGGTGTTACTGGGTGATACTGATGTTACTGGTGTTACTGGTGTTACTGGGTGATGCTGGTGTTGCTGGTGTTACTGGTGTTACTGGTGTGTTACTGGTGAGTTACTGGTGTTACTGGTGTGTTACTGGTGTTGCTGGTTGCCCGCAGGTGCACCGGGAGCTCAGCAAGTGCCTGCGGCACTCGGGGTGTTGCCTCAGGGGCCCCCCCGGCACCTCCCTGGGCGCCCTCAAACCCTCGGCCGCCCGCGCCCACCCCTGGTACTACAGCTGCACCCAGGTGGGCACCCCAAAACCGCCCCAAAACCACCCCAAAACCACCCCAAAAACCTTCCCCTAAATCCCACCCCCGGTACTACAGCAGCACCCAGATGGGCACCCCAAAAACGCCCTAAAACACCCAAAAACCTTCCCCTAAATCCCACCCTGGTACTACAGCTGCACCCAGGTGGGCACCCCAAAACCGCCCCAAAACCACCCCAAAACCACCCCAAAAACCTTCCCCTAAATCCCACCCCCGGTACTACAGCGGCACCCAGGTGGGCACCCCAAAAACACCCTAAAAAACCCCAAAACCACCCCAAAAACCTTCCCCTAAATCCCACCCCCTGGTACTATTAATTTTCCCACCCTTCCCCCTCACATTTCCTGCCCTTTCCCCCTCACATTTTTCACCCTTTTCCCACTCACTTTTCCCACCTTTCCCCCCCACTCACATTTCCTGCCATTTTTTCCCTTACATTTCCCACCCTTTTTCCCCCTCCAGTTTGCCACCCCTTTTTCCCTCATGTTTCCCACTGTTTTCTCCTCATGTTTCCCACCCTTTTCACTGCACATTTCCTGCTCTTATTCCCTCCACATTTCCCACCTTTTCCCCTCACATTTCCTGCCCCTTCCCCCTCACATTTCCCCCCCTTTTCCCACTCACTTTTCCCATCCATTTCTCGCCTCACGTTTCCCACCATTTTTCCACTTACCTTTCCCACCCTTTTTTTCCCTTCACGTTTCCCACACTTTTCCCCTCTCATGTTTCCCTCCCTTTTCCCCCTCACGTTTCCCGTCCTTTTCCCCTCACATTTTCCACCACCTTTTCCTCTCACATTTCCTGCCCTTTACCCCTCACATTTTCCACCCTTTTCCCACTCACTTTTCCCACCTTTTTTTCCCTTCAGGTTTGCCACCCTTCTCCTTTTACGTTCCCCACCTCTTTCCCCCTCATGTTTCCCTCCCTTTCCCCCCTCACGTTTCCCGTCCTTTTCCCCTCACATTTCCTGCCCTTTCCCCCTCACATTTTCCACCCTTTTCCCCCTCACTTTCCTGCCCTTTTCTCCTCATGTTTCCCACCTTTTTCCCTCACATTTCCCACCCTTTTCACCTCATGTTTCCTGCTCCTATTCCCCTCACATTTCCCACCCTTTTCCCACTCACTTTTCCCATCCATTTCTCGCCTCACGTTTCCCGCCATTTTTCCCCTTACCTTTCCCACCCTTTTTTTCCCTTCACGTTTCCCACCCATTTTCCCCTCACATTTCCCGTCCTTTTCCCCTCACATTTCCCACCACTTTTTCCTCTCACTTTCCCACCTTTCCCTCTCACATTTCCTGCCCTTTACCCCTGACATTTTCCACCCTTTCCCCACTCACTTTTCCCACCTTTTCCTCCCTTACCTTTCCCACCCATTTTCCCCCTCAGGTTTGCCACCCTTCTCCTTTTACGTTTTCCACCTCTTTCCCCCTCATGTTTCCCTCCCTTTTCCCCCTCACTTTTACTGCCCTTTCCCCCTCACATTTCCCACCTTTTTCCCCTCACATTTCCCACCTTTCCCCCTCACGTTTCCCCCCCTTTTCACCTAACGTTTCCTGCTCTTATTCTCTTCACATTTCCTTCCCCTTTTCCCCTCACGTTTCCCACCACTTTTTCCTCTCAGTTTCTCACCCTTTTCCCCTCACATTTCCTGCCCTTTCCCCCTCACATTTTCCACCCTTTTCCCACTCACTTTCCCCACCTTTCCCCCCCCCACTCACATTTCCTGCCATTTTTTCTCTTACCTTTCCCACCCTTTTTCCCCCTCAGGTTTGCTACCCTTTTCCTCTCACGTTTCCAGCCCTTTTTGCCTCATGTTTAAGTCCTTTTTCTCCTCATATTTCCCACTGATTTCCCCTCACGTTTCCCACCTTCTTCACCTCACGTTTCCTGCTCTTATTCCCTTCACATTTCCCACCTTTTTGGCCTTGCATTTCCCACCCTTTCTCCCTCCTGTTTTCCATCATTTCCCCCTTACGTTTCCTGCCCTTTCCCCCTCACTTTTCCTGCCCTTTCCCCTCACTTTTCCCACCCTTTCCCCCCTCACAATTCTCCCTGTTTTTCCCTCACGTTTCTCACCCTTTTCACTGCACATTTCCTTCTGTTATTCCCATTTCCTGCCCTTTTCCCTCTCACATTTTCCACCCATTTTTCCTGCCCTTTTCCCCCCCTCACATTTCTGGCCCATTTCCCTTCACATTTCCTGCCTATTTCCCCCTTGTATTTCCTGCCCTTTTCCCCCTCATATTTCCCTTTTCCCCTCACATTTCCCATCCCTTTCCCCTCCCTTTTTCTACCCTTTTCCCCTCAGGTTTTAAACATTTTTCCAACCACTTTTCCTTGCCCCTTTCCTCCTCAACTTTAATCCTGGGGCTGCCACACTTCCTTCATCCCTCTTGGGCCTGTCAATCATTCTGAGGGGCTGATCCTGCCTGTCAATCACTTTTATTCCTGCCCATCAATCACTCTGAGGGGCTGATCCTGCCTGTCAATCACTTTTATTCCTGCCCGTCAATCACTCTGAGGGGCTGACCTTGCCTGTCAATCACTTTTATTCCTGACTGTCAATCACAGAGGCCACATGTCAATCATTCTGGTCCTGCCTGTCAGTCCCACACAGACACCTCAGAGCCCTCTGACCCCCCACAGCCCCCCAAATAATCACCTCATACTCATGCCCAGCAGTACAGCAGCACCCAGGTTGGGACCCCCAACCCCCCCAAATAACCCCTCACCTCAAAAGCCCAAAGCCCCCAAACCCACTCCACACCCAGGATCCTCCCCATGGCACCCCCAAATCCCTCCAGATGCTCAAACCCCCCATGACAGACCCAGACCATCCCCCAGATGCACGTGGGCCCCCTCCAGACCCCCCAGATCTACCTGTGGTACCCCAAGATCCCCCCGTGTTACCCTCCAGACCCAAAACCTCCCTCAGACCCCGCCAGGCTGTGGGTGCTGGATGTGGGGACACCTCGGAGGTATTCCAGGCTGTCTGGGGGGCTCTGGGGTGGTTTTTGGGGGGTTCTGGGGGTCCCAGCCCCAGCGTTGTGCCCCCAGAGCCGGATCCGGAGGATGTGGAATGACACGGTCCGGAAACAGACGGAGTCCAGTTTTATGGGGGGGGACCTGAACAGCACCCCAACCTTGAACCGAGGTGAGACACCCCCAAAAAACACCTCAGAACTCCCCCTACCCTGCACGGAGCTGAGCCCTTCCCCAGAGACCCCAGAGACTCCCAGAAACCACCCTCCACCCTGAATGGAGTGAGACCCCTCCCCAGAGACCCCCAGAGACCATCCTCCATCCTGAACAGCGGTGAGACCCCTCCCAAAAACCCCCACAGGACCCCAAAGATCCCTCTGGGCCCCCTCAGACCCCCAGGGACCATCCAGGATCCCTTTCCAGACCCCCTGAGATGCCTCGGATCCACCTCAGACCCCTGAGACTCCCCACCCCCTCCCCCGGGACCCCCTGGGACCCAAAAACCCCTCTGGGATGCCTTTGGGTTCCCCCCAGATCCTCTGGGACCCCTCTGATCCCCCACAGGTCCTGGGGTCCCCAAAGACCCCTCTGGTCCCCCATGGGACCTCCCCAGACTCCACTCAGACCCCTCCAGGACACTGGTGGGACCCCCAGGACCCCCCCAGACCCCCCAGCCCCCCGAGTGTGACCCCTCTCCCTCTCCGCAGGGTCGCACCTCCTGCCCAACCCGGTGCTGCCGCCGCGGGGGGGGTCGAGCCCCTACAACACCCTCCTGGCCGAGGGGGGGGGCTTCACCCCCGCCTCCCCCCCCGCCTTCACCGCCCCAGGTGAGTCTGGGGGAGCACGACCCACCCCAAACTGCCCCCAAACCCTCGGGACCCCAAAAGACCCTCCCCCAAATCCTTCCTCCCTCAGCACCCCCTGGGTGGGTTCAGGGGGGGCTTGGGGGGTCCTGGATGCTCCCACCCTGAACACCCCAGTTTCAGCCCCTGGGGGGGGCAGCTGGTCCCACAAAATCCCCCCACGCCCCCCTGGATCTCCCCAAAATCCCCATAGCCCCTGCCCCCAAGGGGGAATGGGGGGTTCGGGGGGTCCTGGCTGCTGCATCCTCCACTATTTCAGCCCCTGGGTGGGAGTGGGGGGATTTTCCTGCTCCCCCCAGCTGCCCCCACCACCTCGGCCCCCAAAACTCCCCCAACAACCTCACAGAGGGGGACAGGTGAGTCCTGACCCCACACAGCCCCCCCAGGACCCCCGAATTCCCCCCAGATGTCCCACATGTGGGGTGACAGAGGGTGCTGGGGAATTGGGGCAGAATGGGGGGGTGGGGACTGGGGAGTCCGGGGAGGACCAGGACCCCCCCTGAGTGCTGTGTCTCTGTCCCCAGGGAGCTTCCGTGACACCAGTAAGTGCTGCCCCACGACCCCCCGTGCCCCTCCTGGTGCC